AACTCTATATATAATAAACATTAGAATCAATATAATACATATATTTTATTTTACATAATTTTATTAAAACCTCTTTTTTCATGAATTTTTACAGAGAAACCAAACTATGAACTGTCTAAAACAAATCTAAAAAGATTGAACAAGTCAAATGAAAAAATAACAAATCAGTCAGACTCCTATACATCTGAAATGGTCATAATACTAGCTATTATTGTTCCACTGTTGCAACTGCATGTAGGAAAATAGGGGTTTCAAGTAGGTTTTTGGCCATTGTTGCAAATGAGTATATTTGACTAATATAAGCAAATTGTAAAAATATTCAACAATTATATCAAAGTAGGTAACAACACAATGTTTGCCTGATAAATATAAAAATTTTATGAGAATATATGTAGGAGATAAATTGATATATATTATGACAAAACAATTATCATAATACCCCTCATGATTATAATCAATATTTTCATATATTTTTTTTATGATTTTGAATTAATTACAAAGTTTGATATAATAAAAGATTGATATATAAGACTTATTAATTATATATATATATATAATTATTTATTTTGGTGGAACTTGATAATTATTCTAATTATATTTTAGATGTTTAGTACGAATTCAAACATCGAGTTTTAATAAGTTGTACTTATGCATAATTACTTGTAATCTTGAATTTTAAGTAATATGCATCAATAAACAATACTTCGTGCATAAAAAATTGTTTTTAAGAGTTTTTGTCAAATGTTTTATAATATAGTATAGACTAGAAGGGTACTCGCGCAATGCATCGAGACACATCTTGATTTCAGTGTTTTGTTCTATTCTTTTTTATGTCAGTATAATACGGTTTTATGTGGTTTTGAGAAAACGATAATATTTTTATTTTTGAATAAAATACAAATTTGAAAATATCATAAAATTTTGAAAAAAAATATATATATCAGTATCAAATTAATCTTTTTAAAAGTTCTTGTGTTTTGGTGTAATTTCCTTTATTCAAAATTTTTAATTATAATTTAGTTTAGATTTACTAACAAAGAAATTTAATTTAGGTTAATAATATAATTTTTTATAAGTATAATAACTAAGTATTCTGTTAGAACTCAATAATTATCCTAATTATATTTTAGATTTTTTATATTTAAAACGAGATGTTTATCCAATATCTGATTATGTTTATCTGCAATTAATTACATGAATTCAAATATGGATCTTTAATAAGTTGTACTTATACACAATTTACTTGTAATCTTAAATTTTAAGTAATATGCATCAATAAACAGTACTTCGTGCGTACAAAATGATCTTTAAGAGTTTTTGTCAAATGTTTTATAATATAGTATAGATAGTATAGATTATGTGTTTTTAAAAAAAAGAATAATGATTTTATTTTTGAATAAAATATAAATTTGAAAATATTATAAAAAATTAAAAAAATATATTAATATTAATGTCAAATCAACTATTTAAAAGTTTTTTTTTTTTAATTTCTTTAATTTATTTTTTTATTATAATTTAATTTAAGTTTAATAATGAAATAATTTACTTTTGGTTTAATAATATAACATTTTATTGTACTTATGCATAATCTATTTGTAATCTTGAGTTTTAAGTAATATGCATTAATAAACAATAATTTACGTATAAAAAGTAGTTTTTAAGAGTTTTTGTCAAATGTTTTATAATATAGTATAAATTATTTTTTTTATAATTTAATTTAAGTTTAATAATGAAATAGTTTATTTTTGGTTTAATAATATAACATTTTATAAAGATAATAATTAAGTATTCTGAACTCAATTATTATCTTAATTATATTTTAGATTTTTTAATATTTAAAATGAGATGTTTATCTTGTATTTGATTGTATTTATTTGCAGTTAGTTACACGAATTCAGATATGTGATGAAATCGGATAGAGATGAAATCGTTTAAGGATGAACGAGTTTAAGAGTTTTTAAGAATTTTAGCCAAATAATTTATAAGATAGTATAGATAAGAATCTAGTAAAAAAATATCAAAAAACTAGTACCAAATCCACAATTCACTCCCAAAAAGATGATAACTAGTATGAAACGTGATTATTGGTGGTAAAGCCAACTTCTCATCCTTCCATCTGTTTGGTAAGGAGCTAATTACGGAAACCAAGAAATATTGTCTTGTTCAATCTCTCCTCACCCTAACCCCACCAACATTACGTTAGTTATAATGAAATTTCACACAAAAAAGCCCCACGTTGGTTCCATTTACAGCTTTTGCTTTTTGGAATCAATGGAACAGCTCGGCACATTTTTTGAAAAATAAAGAACACAATACCCCCATTTTCTGCAAAATCTAGAACAATATATGATACCCCTCCTGATTGATTTGTGATCAAGAGAATCAGCCTTGTTTCCTTCTCCTTTTTTGTTTTTTTTGGGGTTTTTAAATATTTTCATTGGTGTACTCGAGTTGGGATTGTTTCGTATCGTCGCAGGATTGTAGTTTTGGGTTTGAACACCATATGTTTGTAGTTTTGTCTCTGAGAGTGACATTGATGATACAAGGAGAGCTTGATCTGGGTTGATAACATTCTTGGTTTTTTTTATAAGATAGAGATACGTAGATAGATATATGTACGTTTAGATAGGGGTTGGGATAATGAGCAAAGTGCTGGTGGGCATTTTGAAGGCAGTGGAAGCAAAACTTAGGAAATCACAAGCATCTGCAAAGAAAGGGGCAATCAGCATTTTCACAACAATGTCTGTCGCCCACGTCGATGACGAGGCTAGCGATGCAGATGTTTGCCAAACGGAGAAGATCTTCCCCAATGGTGACATCTATATCGGTCAGTGGGCTACGGACTACCCTCATGGCAATGGCAAGTACTTGTGGCCAGATGGGTGTATGTACCTTGGTGAATGGTATAAGGGCAAGATCCGTGGTAAAGGCAAATTCAGTTGGCCATCAGGTTCAACTTATGAGGGTCAATTCAAGAATGGGTATATGAACGGAGGGGGTACTTTTACAGGTTCTTTAAACGATACTTATAGAGGTTCTTGGGTTATGAATAGAAAACAAGGAAAAGGGACTCAGAGTTATGCCAATGGGGATCACTATGAAGGGGAATGGAGAAAGGGATTCCATGATGGGCAAGGGAGATATCATTGGAGTAGTGGTCATCAATATATTGGGCAATGGAAGAAAGGGAAAATGAATGGGAATGGAACCATGATTTGGGCTAACGGGAATAGGTATGATGGGAGTTGGGAAGATGGATTACCGAAAGGAAATGGTACATTCCATTGGCAAGATGGGAGTTTCTACGCAGGTGTTTGGAGCAGGGATCAGAAAGAGCAAAGTGGCAAATTTTATCCTTCAACTTCACAAGATCCTCATGATGACTGGGATCCAAATCAGCTGTTTTCAGTTGAGATGGGTGAATGCCTGATCTGTGAGGGGGAAAACATATCAATCTTTCCTTCAGATAAGACATTTAGTTGGTCTAGTGGTGAAGGAAAACCACCAAGGAAGAATTCCAGTGGAAATGACACCAAGGGTAGGAGAGTATCGGTTGATGGAAGGCTTAGCAACTGCGATACCCTAACTTCGGAAGGAAATTCGGGGAATGGACTTTTTAGTGGATCAAGAAAGATCAGGACACAGCCCACAAAGAGGCAAGGTGTTACAATATGCAAAGGCCATAAGAATTATGAGCTTATGCTCAATCTACAGCTTGGTATAAGGTATTAATTGATGAATGATTCTTATAAGATTCTGATCTTGTTATGTCGCGGGTGATTCTAGGTTATTTGATTTTTAGTTGTTAAATTATCCCCCCC